TTCGCTTAGATCCTTTTTGACGATCTGCCACACTCGCTCCACCTCACAGTTCACGTAGCAGTCATGAATACGTTCATTCAGCCCCCGTTTCCACGAGTACGGCCATCCATTGTCCGAGGTGAGCACCATTAGCCTGAGAGGTGCTGCACCGGATTGCTGCACACCGTCATCCTTTTCGAGAGTGTCGCCAACTTCGTTGTACGTCCATGACTGTTCCGGTTTCCCCTTCTTCACCTCCATTCCCGTCCCCTCAGCACCAGGAACTTCCTTAACATGGTGCCAACTCGCATTGTACACAGACTCGTAGTATCCCTCCAGTTTCATCGCTTCAATCGTCGTCATTCGGTTTCTCGCTTCCTGAAGGGCTGCATCCAATGAGTTTTTAGCGTTTTCGCAAACACCTGCTTTTACCTCCTCAGCAGCTTTTGACCACCGAAGTAGATTGTTGACACCTTTCTCGCTAAGCCTGCGTACAACTTCTTCCAAACCCATTTCCTCCCTTACAGTCTTCTCCATCCTCGCATAAGCACCTGTTGTCTGTATTTCGCCCAATACTCCTGCATCGCGGATATACCTCGTGGGATCCTTAAAAAAATCCTCCAGCGAAACATCCCGATTGGTAGCCGCAATGCCCTTTCCGCCAAATCTCAGCGTAAGAAAATCGTTCAGCTTTATGTCATTGACGCGGACTCTTCCTCCAAACAACAAATCTTCGATCTTAGCAAATAAGTTAAATATTATTTGTTGCTGGTCCCATCTCGCCCTTTCTTCCGCCTCACGGCGTTCTTCTCTCAGTACCTGAGTGAGAACTCTGTTTAGATTTCTCCTTGCAACAGGAGTGACCGTATCCTTTCCTTCATAGTCCCTCCATTGCTCGAGAGAGTCCACACCCTCGTGGTGAAGCTTAGTAATGGCCTCCAATAGAATTTTCATCTCATCCAACTCCCTTTCCATCTCTTGGTACTCTGTTAAATTAAAAATAATTCTAAGAAGCCGCTGGTCTTGCACGTAAGCATCCGGCTCCTGAACAAACGCCTCCATAATGACGTTCCCATTTCTTTCCACAACCCACTCATCGCCCAATTTGCTCCGAAGGAAATCGTTCAGCTTCATGTTGGCCCTGTTAGTGCTTCCCTCCAGCAGGATTTCCTTTACGGTGCTACCCATGGTCCACTGTGGTCGCCGCGCTTCCTCCAATCTTCTGCGAGTCGCAGAGGAGTGATCTGTGTCACCCTCAAATTCCGACCTCGCTCTCCTCTGACGATCTCCCTGCGGGACAGTAGGCGCTTGAATTTCCTCATTATCGTAAAGTCCTTCCTCGGGCCTTCCAGACATTGTTTCTCCTTGTTTTCTTAGTTGGATTGAGTTAAAGCTGAACACTAACCACCCAAAGAAAGGTATGAGAGGGATAAAAAAATGCACATACATGAAAGAGAGCCACAACAATTCAGTCATCCACACAGGGTAGAGTAAATATTGAGCTCGAATAATCTTCTTGACCGCTGGCTGGATCCTGAATTTATGTAAAGAAACCAGACAACATAGGAAAAGGGGCAACACATAAGAAGTTAATTTACCACATGTTTTCTCCTGATACTATATATATATATGTATATATTCTATGATACGCACAACAGCCACCATCGCAGAACACGTCCTCATTACTAAGTACAGATATGAAATAGAGACCACCAGCCCCCATATTCGGTGCTGCAGCGAAGAGCGTAAAACACACGCACACACACACACGTTACGCATCCGCCCTGGGCTAGCGTGATAAGCTCGATAATCCGTTGTCGTCGATAATCGGTAAAATAAAATAAAAGCAATGAAGCAATCACCCAATCAATCTATGAATAATGGAAAGAAAAAAGATACTCGCCAGAAGCGTCTACGTCATGCCGCATCTGCAAGGTGCGTTGTGCCTTCTCGCCGCGTACCGGTACTGTTGTGGTCGGAGCCCTTCCACCTAAAAAAAAAAAAAAACTGCGATAATTCTTTCGTCCAGCGAACCATACTCACCTGTCCAGGAGGACGTGATCAATTATTCAGCTCGCAATGGATGCACCGTCGAACAGGCTCAGGGCGTCTGAGCGGGTGTCACCGGTCACAGATTGCAACGGCGGTGCGGGTGGTCGGTACGACAACGCAGCGGTGGTGCCTAAGGCATACGACGATGACGCCATGTCGTACTGCTTCCGCGTCTCCTCGTCGCTCTCCTCGTCATCGCGCAGCAGCGCCTCCAGCCCTCCACGCCGCGGCTCGCGCAGCTCCTGCCAGTGGCGGTCCTCCACGTACCACACAACGACGCCGTACACAGTGACCGCAAGCACCACAGTCGTCAGCAGCAGCACGATCGCCGCGTACGCCCTCGCACCGCCGTCGCTCGGCGCAAGATGGTTGGCCGCGCTCACCACGCACAGCACCGTCAGGAAGGCCGAGCGCATCATGTTCGTGAAGGCAACCACGCCCGCACCCGCAAGCAGCACAGCCGCCATGCAGAAGTACTGGACGTGGCAGCCTCCCACGGGCGGGTGCACAGCCGCAATCAGGCACACCACACACAGCACCGACAGCTGGAACACGCACCAGTACACGTGGCTGCCTCTCATGTTCGTCAGCATGCCGCCGTACATCCGCTGCTGCGCCGCGGGGTGCCAATACCCGACGGGGTAAAGCAGGCGCTCGTGCAGCGGCTTCCTCAAAAACTGCCAGTACCTCGTGAAGCTCGCGCCCACGTGGCGGGCAATCAAGTAGCACACGCCGGCAGGGAACGCCACTCCGTACAGCACGCCAACAACACCAATCACGCGGTGCTGCACGCGGGCGTCGGGCATCGCAAGTGCGAGCACCGAGCCAAAGAAGATGCCGAGGTGCATCGCGTGCGCCACGACGTACGTCAGGCTCGGGAAGCGCATCGCAGCCCACGCACTCGCAGCGTCCACGCCGCGCCACCGCTGGAAGGCCGCCGTCACACCGCAGTGCACGCACCCGAACACAGCGGCGAGCAGCGCGTTGCCCACCACCATCCACAGCGGATCAAGGGCAGCGAACACCGACAGGAAGTACGGCAGCGCAACGGTGCTCGCACGCTCCTGCGCCAAGGCGCATGGCATCCTCGCAAACACGCCGAGCGCCTGCATCTCCAGGACGGAGCCCAGCCCGCCGGTCACCACCACCGCAACAGCCGCCGCACCCGCAACAACGCCGGTGATCGCCGAGAGGGCGCTGGCAGCGGCGGGCAGCATGGCGGACCTGATCGTGAAGGACCCAAGCAGCACACCCTTGCAGCCGCCAGACACCGCCGCAGCGTCGCAGCGAATGACTATCGTCTCATCGGCAGCAATGAAGTAACCGCGGTGCACGGGCACAGCCAGCTCCAGGACGGTGAAAGGATTCGTCGCGTTGCGCACCCACGTCGCGTTGCGCAGCATCGCTCCCCACGGACCACCGAACCCACTCGGCTGCGCCGTCGACACAGGCACAAAGCTCAGGTGCGTGCCAAGCTGCGGGTCGCGTGCCCACCGAAACGGCGGCGGCAGCGCCACCATCAGCCGCGTCGGGACGGCGCTCCCACCGCCGCGGATCTCGTTCTGCGTCAGACTGCCACCAGCCGCCGTCGTCGTCACAGCGAGCGTCGGGCACGCCACGTCGCTCCACCACAGCGTGCTGCTCACCGACGCCGTCGGGGTCCGCGTGGGCGGCAGCGCCACCGTCTCCGTCACCTGCAGGGTCTCCGTCGGCCCGTGCTGCGTCGAACTGTAGTGCGGCGTGCTCAGGCTCGGTGTCGGTGTCCACGTTGGTGTCAGGCTATGCGTTTCCGTCAGCGTCGCCGTGCGACTCAGCAGCGGCATGCCGGGCGTATGGTTGCACCCGTCCACGTGCGGCAGGTACACCGGCAGGCAGTCGCACCCGTACCCGCCCTCAGCACAGCGGCAGACGCACGACGCAGACATCGCCCTCGTAGCAGCTGCAAAGCAGCACACGTCGGCGTCGCACACGCCACACGCCACGGGGCGGAATTCCCCGATGATGCCGGCGGACCCGTAGTCCATCGGCTGCAGCGCCTGCCCGTCGAGCGTCAGGCACCCCACGACAAACTTCCGGCCGGCGCCCACGAGCGCAACGGTGCCGTCCATCACGACAAGCCCGCTGCCAGCGTTCCCGTGGAGCGTCAGCGTGCTCTGCACAAGCTCCGCACTCCGCGGGTACGACGGCACAGACAGAAGCCTGCCGCTGATGCTGTTGCCGCGCACCGACAGCCACGACCCGGACGCAAACGACGCCGACCCCCGCAGCTCCAGCAGCGCGCCATCCGTCAGCGCACCGGCGTTGTCGTTCACTACGACGGCGGACGCGTTATCCTCCACCCCGCTGCCAAACACCAACCCGTGCGCGGCGTACACCTGGCTCCCCGACACGCGCAGCACAGCGCCCCCAGACGCAACCACGCGCGCACTCGCGTACAACGCATACTCGCCACCGAGCACAGCCGCGTCCAGCGCGACACCGCCACCGACAAGCTCCAGCACAGCGCCGTCCATCACCACCGTCCGCCCACCAGTCATCACGGTCACGAGGGCCACGCCGGACACAACCAGCACGGACCGCACGAGCCGCAGGCCCGACAGCACCAGCACCGGTGCGTACGGCGAGGACCGCGAGCCGGGAAGATACACAAGCGGCGTCGACCTCGCGGCAACCAGCAGGGAGTCAGTCACCGTCAGCACAGACCCCGCGGGGAACGTGCCGGTCAGCACAAGCGCACCGTTCAGCGCCTCCACATCGCACACCGACAGCTCCACCGGTCCGCCCTCGTCGCTCCCCGCCGCTCCCGCACCGCGCAAGCCTTCACCGCCCATCACGTAAAGCACGGCACCGTTCAGCAGCGAAACGTTCTGCACAACGATCCGCACGCCGTCCCGCGCCATCCACGGCACGTAGAGCACAGGACTCACGCCGTCCAGCACAACGTGGCGCAGCGTCACCTCGCTCGCACCGGCGGGCACAACGAACACCGACCGCACCGTCACGCCCTCGCGGACGAACACACTCGACGCAGTGCCCACAGCGGGCGGCAGTGCGAGAGCTCCCACAGGCATGCACGCCTCGCCGTACCCGCCGCTGTCGCACGCGCACACGCACACACCGTTATTCATGCTCGCAGACGCAGTCCGGGGCGCGTAGCAGTGCGTGTCCCTGTCGCAGACGTCGCACCCAGCAACGTCGATGCTCCCGGCGTCGCCAAAACCAGCCGCTGCGTACTCCGCCGCCGTCGAAAGGACACGCCCACCAGCGTCGTTGCACGCCACCCTCACATGCGCCCCAGCCGCAAGCGACAGGCTCAGCGACAGCATCCGTGGCAGCAGCGCTCGGTTGCGCACAAAGCTCAGCGTGCTCCCAGCAGCGGTCACGGCGCCAGCGGCGTAGAGCATCTCCCTCGAGACGCCGTCGTGCACGTTGTCCTTCGCCAGCAGCATCGACCCGTCGGCCAGGCCCACCGTCGAATAAAACGCCACCGCGTAGTCCTCCGTCGACACAAATTCGCTCCGCACAAGCGCCACAGCAGAGCCCGACACGCTCACAGTCCCACGCACAGACACCGCGTGCTTGCACAGCAGGAAGTCGCTGTCAACAAACGCCAACACGGAGCCGCCGCTGGCCGCAACACCGCCCTCCACCGACACGCACAGCCCCAGCGCCGTCTGTACCGACAGCCCGTCCACGTACAGCGCACCGCGCGACGACAGCGCCACGCCGCCAACCAACAACACGCCAACAGCGCCGCGGAACACAGCCGCCACATGCGTGCGCGCAATGGTCAGCACACTCCCAGTCAGATTCACGCTGTGCAGCACGAGACACGCGGAGGCGTCGCCAAGGCCGTAGGCGCCGCGGTACGCAACACGCCTCTCCGCAATCAGCACCGAGTCCACCACGGTGACGCGCGAGCCCGGCGGAAATCGGTTCGCCACCAGCACGCCGCCGCCAGAGCGCGACTCAAGCCCACTGATCAACACATCGACGCGCTCGCCAGCAGGCGGGTCGGACCGCCACCCAACAACGTACAGGCTCGCTCCGCGCACAAGCGTGCAGTTCGACAGCGTCACGTTGCGCACGCTCCCTGACATCGACTCCACGTCCACCACGACGTCCGCCGCAAAGGTCACACCAACGTAGCACGTCACCGACGTCCCGAAACCGGCGTTCACCTCCACCTCCACACGCACTTCCCGCACGCACAAGTCGGCGCCGTCAGTGCTCGGTGGCTCGGGGACAGCAACGGGCAGGCACGCATCGCCATAGCCGCCCTCCGCGCACGTGCAGGCGCAGCC